TCCTATGTAATTGAAGGCCAATGTTTGACATGATATTAGCTGTAGGCTATGCTAATTTGTTCTTTTTTTTTGTAGTCAGCATTTTCAGCACTCAAGTTGTGAGCCACCCTCGGGTCATCGAGTGCTCAACCAATCAGTACATCATAACGTAACATACCATATTTTTCATTGTTTTTATTAAGTAAACAAAAGTCATGTTTTAACCCAAGCTAACTCTACCATGGGCATAGTGCTGACCACACTATCTCTTCATATGCCGAGGTCACAGAAACAAGTGAACTCTACTTCACTTGCCCCATAGACCGTCAGGTTTGAAAGGGAAACTTTTACTTTTAACTCTACCATACAGTAAAAACATAGTGGTTTAAAACATAATAAATATTTAATGAAATTTCTATTGAGAATGGCATTTAGATATTCTTGCATTTTCATATTTGATGCATTTTTCTGCAAATATTCATATCGCGTTTAGCGAAATTAGCGGTGTTATGCGTCTAGAATAAAAAAGATTGAATTTGTTTTCTGTAACCAAATTTGGGGATTTATTAATGTCTTTAAAATTTAATACTTAGAGACAGTTTTTTAGTTAATTTAAAATGTGCACACATCTATCGAAAATTCTAACAATAAATCAAGATCCAGCTTTAAAAAGTCAATATGTAATAAGGATGATGGGGACTCTGTTTATCTGTTTGTGGCGGTTTTGGTGTTTTCGTTCCTTAATCAAAAGGAATCCAAAATTTTAAGTTAAATTTTGCCTGAAATATGTCTGAAAGTAAAATCAATTTGTGAATGCCTATTAAGTATATGTATTGCACAAATGCTAATGCGTTTTGTATAAACTTAAACACTGTTTTTAATTTGATAAAATGTTGTACAAGACATAAATTTATAATAAACACTATTCTAGCATTGGTTTTATGTTTATCTCAAACATCTACCTTTATTTGTTTGTTATAGTTTATATTTGTTCAAAACTAATTTTTAATGCATGAAATTTGATTTTAAGTTGCGTCCCTTGTATCTGGTAATCTTTGAAAGGGAGGCTATTATTACTATCCTAATATATAATTCTCTTCTTAGAGACCATAGAAAATACCAAACTGTAAGCGCGCCTAGCAGCCCCCTCTCTTACACTCTAGGCATTTCGCTACCAACCAGAGGCGTAGCGAGGGGGGGGCGGGAGTGGGACGACATATGTCCCCGGGCGCCGACCTTACGGGGGGGGGGGGTTGCAAATCGAAAGTTTGTCCCCGGGCGCCGGGAAGGGTCGCTACGCCTCTGCTACCACCCCCACCCCCACATGGTCTGGTGAGCTGTGGTTCACGCTAAATGTTTACAATCGTAGAGACGGGTTTAGTGACGGCTATTAGGGGCAGATAATTTAGTTTTAAACTTAGGGGAGGTAACTATAAGAAAGCTGCTTTCATGGGGGGAGGGGGGGTGGGGTTGGGGGAAAGGAGGGTTTTAGTGTTTTAAAGCAAATATTTTCAATGGCAGCATTGGTACTGTCGAATTCACAAATCGTGAATTACTGAAAAGTCGGTTCGTTTTAATTAGTCATTTTACTTTTCACCAACCGCGTTTGTTAATATCTGTATTGTTTCGATGATTCCCATAAATTATCCTATCTGCAATACACCCTCAACTATTATTATTATTATTATTATTATTATTATTATTATTATTATTATTATTATTATTATTATTATTATTATTATTATTATTATTACAAATTTACAAATGACAATTTCCTTTACATATTAAACTGTCTGACTTTCTGGTTTTAAACTTGTTAAAAAGCATTTTTGTGTATTCCTAATCCAATGTTTCTTCCAGACTTTTTTCTCCGGGGGGGGGGGGGGGTCACTTGAAATTTTCGGGGGGCGGCGGACACTGTTAAAAGTGTATATTTTCCATATAAATTCCATTTCGTTCGGGGGCTACCGCCTCCCCCCGCCCCCCTCCCCCCCTCCCCGAAGAGATGCCTGGAAGAAACTCTGTCCTAATCTGAAAATACGTAGGCTTTTGTATGGCATATATTAGTATTCAATTTTTTTTTCTAACCATACCTTACCTGCAAGGTTTTATTTTGGGGTAACGAACAATAAATATATAAAGATTTCTTTAGGCTTGTGTATGGCATATATTAGTATTCCATTTTTTTCTAACCATACCTTACCCGCATGGTTTTATTTTGGGGTAACGAACAATAAATATATAAAGATTTCTTTAGGCTTGTGTATGGCATATATTAGTATTCCATTTTTTTCTAACCATACCTTACCCGCATGGTTTTATTTTGGGGTAACGAACAATAAATATATAAAGATTTCTTTAGGCTTCTGTATGGCATATATTAGTATTCAATTTTTTTCTAACCATACCTTACCTGCATGGTTTTATTTTGGAGTAACGAACAATAAATATATAAAGATTTCTTTAGGCTTTTGTATGGCATATATTAGTATTAAATTTTTTTCTAACCATACCTTACCTGCATGGTTTTATTTTGGGGTAACGAACAATAAATATATAAAGATTTCTTTAAAATCTATATTGATGCATTCATTTGAGAGTCTCGACGTTATGAGTCATTCGCTTTTCACTTTTAAAGTTTTAATGGGGTCACTGTTTAGGGAAAGACGATGTTTCATGGGCTCACTGTTTAAGTTACAGGGGAGAGGGTCTCTATTTCATAGTACATCCATGTAACGTTGGGACGAAAAATTTTAACCATACCTAAGTCTGTATGGTTTTATTTTGGGGAAACGAACATTGATTATAAACTAACTAAATTATGTTGCTGCATTTGAGAGGCTCGATGGTATGAGTCATTTGCGTTTCACTTTTAAAGGGGGGTTACTTCTTACGGAGAGACAGTGTTTCATAGGCTCGCTGTTTAAGTTTATGGGGAGGGGGGTTTCAGTTTCATAGAGTTACCGTCAGTAGCGAAGCGAGGGGGGGGGCGGGGGAGGGGACATATGTCCCCGGGCGCCGACTTTAGGGGGTGCCAAAATGGGTTGGAAAAATAAATTGATAGTGGGGTGCAAATCGAAAGTTGGAGGGGGGTGCAAATCGAAATCTCGAGGGGCTGTGCAAATCGAAAGTTTGAGGGGGGGTGCAAATCGAAATCTCGAGGAGGGGGGTGCAAATCGAAAGTTTGAGGGGGGGTGCAAATCGAAATCTCGAGGAGGATGGTGCAAATCGAAAGTTTGAGGGGGGGGGGTGAAAATCGAAATCTTGAGGGGGAGGGGTGCAAATCGAAAAGTTTGTCCCCGGGCGCCGGGAAGGGTCGCTACGCCTCTGGTTACCGTAGGTCATCTCTGTATGGTTGGAACACTTAAGACGACTCATGTTTTGTGGCGTTGCCTAACGTTAGGGCCCTAGACTGCCAGCAAAACGTCCCTGAGTCCGCCCAGCTCTGATGGGTACCTAACTAAAGTTAGGGAAAAATTAAGGCGGCTGGTTATAGTGTTGATCACACTATCCCTTCATATGCCGAAGTCACTGAAATAGATTAACTCTACTTCATCTGCACCATGTGTCTTGGGCACGAACGGGAAAAAAATTATGTTCTATAGGTCAGTTTATTAGGCTATAATGAGATGACCCCCACATAACAATCGTTGTTAATGACATGATGTAAGTGATTAAGTGCTATATGGAGTTTGTTAGGGCTGTGTGAGGGTTTCACTTTTAATACCACTGCAAAACACTGTGATAATTCCACGACCGATAACTCATCACTAACTCACGAACAGGATTTAATGAACTTGACAGAAACCCTAGTACATTTCCACTTCATGTTTATTTTAACTCTAAAATGACATCAACCCAATAGACACATCATAAAAGAGTTGTGTTCTTTGATGCCAGAAATTAAAACTTTGATAATCAATATTTTAAATGTGAAATGTTTCTGCATTGCAATTTCGAGAATCCATTCTAATGAATTATGTTTTATGCTACAATGAGCTATAATTACCATATTACAAAACAATGTGTCAAGTGTTAGTGTTTATTTTTTGTTACATAATGTTCGATGATAAGGTAAATTATAAACTAATAAGATTGTCTTTTTCTGTTTAAAATATATACCTACATTTTTTTTATTGGGTTAAAATTTAGTTTGCTCAAATAACAACAAAATCTGCTTGTGCTATCTAAAGTTAGATATTAATGTAACGTTAAGTTGGATATTTTGGGTCCTAGGTGCTTTGACCGCAGGTGCTTTGGCCATGGGTGCTTTGACAATTGTTGCTTTGATTACAGCGGGGCTTCGACCATATGTGGTTAGAATCTCTCCACCATGCTTTAGAATTGCTACAGGTAGAGAGCTAGACTGCTAACCCGAAAGTCTCGAGTTCGAATCCGGGTTCAAATCCGTAGAACGTCCACCCAGATCTGATGGGTACCTAACTCACGGTTAGGGGGTTGGGTATAGTGCTAACCACATTATTCCCCTGTATACCGACGTCTTGTATGAAACAGATGATCTCTACTTCATCTGCACCATGTGTCTTGGGCACAAACGGGAAAAGATGATGAACAATATTTGAAATGAAACTCAATGATAATGGTGTAGCTAATGCCTTCGTTTAAGGGCAAATGGCAGCTGGTATTTACATCTAATCCAAAGATGGCGGATTTCTTTTTGTCTTATTTTTGTTGTGCTGACTAATTAGGCTACGTCGACTCATACTCTTCTTGAATTATATCTTCAGGTACCAAATTATGTACAGTAAAGTCTATGTTAGTGTACTGGCTTCACAAAAGGGGCTAAGAGATAAAAATATGGAGCTGTATAAATGAGAGGTCATCATTCTATGTTTAACTAAACAGTAAATGTCATAAACTAGTGTTGCTTCTTCTTCTTCGTTCTTAATTTTTAGTGTTGGAAGGGATCGAGCCTTATCTGCCAGAGGGGTTTCTTCTTCTTCTTCGTTCTTAATTTTTAGTGTTGCAATCTGTAGTAAGTAATAATACGCAAACTCCAATGAAAATCTTTACAAATTTATTTGGCTTAAATTACTTTAAATTATTGTATGGTTATCACAAAGTAGTCTAGACTGTCAGCATCATTGTATAAGTAAGTCAAGACACAACTAGGCTGTATGTTATCTTTCATAAAAAAAAGCTGCTCATTTGGAGTTGTCAACTGTAAATAAAGCCAAGAAACAAACCACACTGTCTCTAAAGAACTAGTTGATGATAATCTATGTTTAAGAACAGATCACTTTAAAGTAATGAACATTAGCTGTTAAATAATATATATATATATATATATTAGAAAAATGTGCTATAAAAGTATATACTTAAGAAAATTATATGAAATTTATTTGACCTGTCCTATTCTAAAAAAAAATGCAATTCTCATATTCCATTATTGAATGTATAACAGAGTCGATTGGTAACAGAGCAATACAAAAGTTAAAACAAACTTACAAAGAGGAATGATGGGTTACAATTGCACTTAGGTATTACACTTACATCAATGCAACAACCGCTGAACTGATCTTTTACTTTTGTGTAATCGACACAAGAGAAATTCTTATAAAAATTAACAAATAAGTTTATGTAAAAAATTTAATTAGGAATATATAACCTATTTAACATTGAGCAATCAGATGGTTAAATAAATTTTTTATTTCTTTTGTGTTTTCTTGAGAGATTTTTTCATAATGTTTTAAAATACTAGTTCGAATTGGAGTATATTGTTATATTACAACAATATTCTTTTTCAGAACAAGATTAAAAGTAACTGAGTATCATATTTTGGTTATTTTCTGATTTTAAAATCACAAAATATCAACAACCTTACCCAGAAAAATTGCAATCAAAAGTTAATTTCAATGTTTAATAAATAATGTATTAGGTTATGAAAAGTAACATGTTAACCTTTGGAATAAATTGCATAGCATAACATCACAAAGTAACATAGGAAATATCATTTTTATGAGGAAAAAAAATCATTTTTCTTACAAGTTGTAGGTACAAAAAAATAGTCATAGTATGCTTTTCTCACTTCAAAATATTTTTTTTTAATTAAAGGAACAATTACAAATGAAAAAAACAATGCTGCATGTTTGTCCCTGAAACAAATTCAAAAAAATTAACAACGCACACATGACTGAGTTAAAGAAACCCTCAAACATTAAACAAACAGGGAAATTAAGTTAAACAATACATAACTTAGCCACACATTCATTAGATACTAAATTACTTCAGCTATAAAAAAAAATAGGTATTAAAAACTGCAAATCAAGAAGGATATTTATAAATAAAGGCATATCATAGAAGACTTTTAAAGCTTATAAAAAGAACAGAAATATTCAAAGCTGAGGAATTTTTACCAAATTCTATTACACATATTCATTGATTGTATGAGCCTTGATTTTTATTAAAGATGTATCCGTACATCTTTTAAAAAAAACACATGTGGAATGAATAGCCTAGTTTCTGACAAAAAATAAACGGGTTTTTTCATTTTTTTTTCTAGGTGGAAATTAGAAATTGTTTCAAGGATGTACATAAAAATTGAAATTTTAGCCTTTAAAAAAATATAACTTAAGGTATAAGGGAAAGCTACATCTCAGTGTTTAAACCATGCAATAGTATTTGTTTACATTTACTGATGAACTAAAAAATTCTAAACAAAATTATAAAGTAAAAAAACTTCAATTTGTGTAACATACAACTTTAAAATTTCAATTTACATGACTATTTAATAGAAGAAGGCACAATTTTTGCATCCAGTTTGAGATCAACAAAGTTTCAAAGCGGATTGTCAATACAGATGTAGCTAGTCGATCAGCATAGATGGTCAGGTGTAGTCTACCAAGGTGAGCAGGGGTCCTCACAGGTCTGTATGTATGTCTCCAGGTTGCCGCTGTTGACTTGCATCAAGGCCGAGTATGTTGTCAGCTGAAAGAAATGTTGCAAAAAAACTCCTTTAGTAATCAGGTATCTGTTTTTCATGGAAATTTCAAATTTGCATCCTATCATTCTAACGATCACAAAGAAAAATAAACACATAAAAACTACAAGCAGGACATTACCCCCCTCCCCCATGGTAGTTGCCGATCCCCTGAAAATTACCCTCCCCTCCAAAGCCATTTAGATTCTGATAGGGATCAGTTAAGGATAAGTTAGGGATAGGGATAGTTTTAGATATCCTTATTCTTAATAAAGGGAGGGGGATAATTAACTGGAGGTGTAAATTAATCTGGGAAGTAATGACCTGGGAGTAATTTATCTAATGAGGGGGTAATGTCCTAGACCCCCCCTCCCCCCTTCAAAAACAAATGGCTACATTATTTGATTCCTTTCCCAAGTCAACAACAGGAAACCAATTATCAATTTAATTTCTAAAAACAAATTACCCTACCTTTAAGCTTTAATGCTTTAATTTCTGAAGCTTTATGTTAAAGACAATGAAATTGTTTTAAAATGCTTCTGTGTGGTTTATGTTGTTCTGGCAAAAGCCAGGCAGGTCTACCCTATCCATGGTATGAAAACAATTAAAACTACAACAAAAATATTTACCTTATTTAATACAGGCTGTGAGGAAAGCACATTGAAAAGACCAGCAAAGCCAGTATTCTGAAAGAAGACACAAACAATATGTGGTGTTTATCACAGAATAAGCTAAAAATAATGCCAAGCTCTAATAACAATTCTTTTAAAATTTCACTCTTTAATATCATCATATTTTATAACATTAATATCTGCAAAAGCTAACTTTTAAATTCAAACTAGATCTATAGTTTTTAAAGGCAAAAATTTTGTAATATATGTAATTCAACTTGGATTGTTAATTGTAAAATTATTTATTTAATTAAAAGATGTTAAAATTAACAATTTTTTTTTTTATTGATTTTTAGCTGCAGTGTTAAGCAGATATATTATTATATCTCTACTATAATTAAATGTACTAAGAGTTGGAGCTGAAATATCTGTAAATTAACAAAAGATGATCAAAAGAAAATGCTTAAATAGTAATTAAAGAAAGGTCAATTTTTTAAATTGTGTTCCTTAATCCTAACTTCATTCAACAAGGAACACTGTAAAAAAATAATTTCTAATTTTGAAAAACATAATTTGGAAATAGTTGGAATTCTTCATCTAATTTTAAGCAATTAGTTTTAAGCTTTCTAATCTGTTTCTAACAAACCTTCTGGGTCATGGTGTCCATACACTTGTGTGCAGGTGTCCTGCGATCATCAAGGATGAATGGAGCCTCCCAATGGTCGTAGTTTGTCTCAAGGATGTACCAGCCAGAGGCGTTTCTCATTTCCCAGGTGTCAAGATTCTTTTCACGAGCTCGTGTTATGACACAACCCTGCAGACAAGGTTAAAATTTCATGGTCTGTAATAGAGACAGAAATGCTGTTCACTTGTATATAAAAGAGTCATTTTTTAACATATTCTTATTATAACATATTCTTAGGTCTGCGTGGTCGAGTCGGTTGCTTTAAACCGAAAAGTCTCGAGTTCGAACCCTTGGGCAGATGAGGCTTGTGGGACAGCCACTCTTCTAGGAGAGACAACTCCAATATCAAACAACTGCTGCCTTGTAGGTTGTTCTTGGTTGGACAAAAGCTATGGAAGCAAATCCAAAAAGAAAAGCAGGCTGAAATCAGAGTCAATGGCCTCAAGGGCTCCTTTCCAACACTAAAATTAAGAACAAAGAAGAAGACAACTGAAACAAAATAAATATAAAAAATAAATGCAAATCAAATCTGTTAATAAAATCAGAAACTGTAACTAGATTATAGTAAACCATAGGATTCTAACCATCTAAATAAATTGGAATGTGAAGAAGTGTGATGCAGAAGAAGACTGAATTAATTATTTTGATTTTATTTTATGGTCTGTAATGGAGACAGGAATGCATTTAGCTTGAATATAAAAAAAATTGCGTAACATAGACCAGTAGAGAAGGATAAGCCAGTAGTTTATGGCAGTATAAAAAAGGAGGAAGAAGTTGCGCTGGATGGGGGGCACATTGCGAAAGGCACAAATAAAAGTGACATACAACTTCATTCAGTACTTGATGTACTTTAGTAGAACCCCATGGAAGGCAAAGAGAGAGCACCCAAGACAGACCTGGAAGAAGAGTGTTCTTGAAGAGCTAAGTCTGCAGTGATATCTTTGGAAACTGCAGAATTCACAGCCAGGGACCAGACAGAGTGGAAGATAAGGGTTGAGGCCCTATGCTCCACAAGGTGTAAAGAGGACTTAGCCAAGAAAGTCATAAATATAATTATTTTTAACTCAACAACATATTCTAATAATACAATCAAAGTAGGGTAAATGTAACAAAATAAATTCAAATAAAATCAGTCTTAATAATATAGGAAACTCTAACTACTACATGTAAGTAAAATCTCGGGTTATAACCAGGATGTATTAACAAACTGGAAAGTGAATAGGTGTGTGGTAAACAAGATTGAATCAGTGTTTCTTCCAGACTTTTTTTTTTAATTGATGCCTGGAAGAAACTCTGGATTGAATTAATATTATTAGAATAGAACTATAAATATTTAGCCAATAATACAATGAATTAATACTGATTTATGAATTATTCCCCTTACCTCTCCCGATTTGTTTCCCCCTAAAATGAAATAAGCAGGAGCAAGCATGACAGTATTTTCCAGTTTAGCTCTGGCCTGTGCATAACTTGTGGCATTTTCCATTACATCTCTCGTGAGGAACCCCATCCATGTCTCATTCCTGTTGCCCAGCAACCACTTGATGATTCCTAAAAATGCAAAAATAAACCTACTTTAAGAACTCACTGTGAAATTATTTAAGATTGGCAGTTGGTATAATAAAATTTTACTATTATAAAACTGCTATATTGGCTGATAATATATGTAAGCCTATATAATCTAGCATTCAATTTTTAATAATAGTTATAAGGAACAACAGAAAATGATATTACAGGATACAGATAAGCCTATAAATATGTTTGAAAATCACAAATTGCCATGTCTTGTGGAATTTTTTTACAAAAATGAAATATGTGAAAAAATATTATTAATGAATCAATCTTAAGTAAAACTTTGTTGGTATTTTTTTAACTCACCAATGAATCCACCGTCAGGATTAAATCGCTCATCCATAGACAATGTGAAAAGTTTCTGCAACAAGACAACGTTCAACTTGTAATGGAATTTAGAATCAAGGTAAAAACTACAAAAAGTAAAATTAATAACTACCCAGAGAATGTCATCATCAGGAAATCTTTTAAAAATTACTAGCATTGTAATAATATACTGAGAGTTGAAAAGGGGCAACAAAAAAGAACTATAATCACCATGATATCTGAATTTTTTCACTGCTACAATACTGTTTAATTGCCAGCTTACTTAAATATGCTTTTTAAAAGTAACAATGTTGGAACTTACAGGTTTTACAGCTGTTAAAATCCCTGTGTAACCAGCAAAGTTAACAGACTTGAAGACAGTCTGTCCACCACGTTGCCAGTCTAAGTTAACAATCAGGGGACGTAAGCGTTCTGTAATAGCCCAGGTTTTATTTCTAACGTCCCAGCTAAAATTTACAAACAAAAAACAGCATCAAAATAACAATAAAAACTGATCTCACATTATCAAAAGGGAATATTTTTAATTATATGAATATAAAACCATCAAGTTTAGAAAAAAAAAAGCATCAAAATGCAAATTATCAAGCGTTACCCAATAAACAGTCCAAAGTCCAAATTCCTGACATGATAAAGTGCACCTAAATATAAAACAATCAATGTTTTTAAAAAGTGACATTTTAACTTATAAATTAGATCCATAAGCAAATTCCAACAATAATAATATAAATAAGAACTCCATATACTTCTAGAATCTAGATTATCTTTCAATGAAAAAAAGAAATGTGACATACCACTTGGATCTTCAGCCACAATGGAAGTACAGACAGTAAAGAACTCATAAAACAAGTTATACAAAATCATTTCACCTGAAAATAAAATTTTATACAATGAAGTTGTTGAAGATTTTAAGAAGAAAGTGCTTAAAAAAAATACGCTATGCTACAAGTATACTTATTTTATAATTTAGTCCTTTTAATGGTTTAAATAAATACTTGGGCCACCAAATACTTCTTATTTGGTTATTAGCTTCATTTATATATAATCCTAATTATGTTTGGGCTAAGATTATTAAAATTTATTTTAGAAATTATAATTCTAGAATAAGCTTTTATATATTTTTAAGTGTGCACCATAAAAGTAAAGTTCTATCAGCTACATATTTTGTTGATAGTAAATAATATTCAGTAATTAGTCAAAAAATGAATAACAAACCAAGATTTATTCCTGCAGCATCGGCAAAACCTTTGATTTCTCCAGCAAATGGGTACGGCAAAGTGCCATCCAGGTTGCCCTAATAAAAATTAAATTATTATGATTCATTGTTTTCATAATCATAAAATTTTAAATGTTTAGTAAACTTGTTACAACACAAATTTTAAAACAGCTTTAAATTATTTTATAAAATGTTATTTTACAACATAATTAAGAACTAGAAATCTATTCATTTTCTTATTTGATTAAGACACCTACCCCTTTAGAGTCGACGAAGTCAATCAGAACTCTGCCCGCTGCTCCCCAGTCATCTACAAATTCTTTGAACCCATCCAGCAAATACTTTATCTGTTGAGAAAATATTTCTTCACTCAACATGCATCAAGTAGAAGACAAAAACATGGCAAAACTGCAACTACTGTTCATTATTTAAGTGCTTTTCTTAACCATATTACCGAAGAGCATCTATTAGTATTATTTTTAATATTTACCTCTAGACTTTTGGCTTGACCTAGCTCTGCCCATCTTTTCTCTGGTGGAAGGTCAAGGTTGATGACAAAAGTACCAACTTTGGTTCTAAATAGTGAAACAAATGGGCCATATATGAGTTAAATTAACATTTTAGTTTTGAAAAATGATGTACACATGCTAACATTTCAGGATGTCAAATGAATCACATTTGTTTATCATTTAGTATTTAACATTTTAAATAGATTATTTTTAGTTAGAATGGTGGTTATACAAGTTTTCTGCAGTTTGATTTAAAGATGAACTGAACTACGTATATTTTTGTCTTATAAGTACATGACACTGTCAAGTAATCACAGAAACAAATAACATGTAATTGTACATTTATGTAAATGTTATATGGTAGTGATTATGTGTTACTTTGTCTTGTGTTCTTATGGTTGTGTAATGGTATCATTGTATCATGTCACTGTGCATAGTGTCATGAGATACTTTATTGTGCTATAGAGTCATGTAATTACTATCACGTGATCTAAACTTTTTATAGCATAACATGACCATTACTATCAAAACAAAATATCAGTTTTTTAATCTATTATTGTATTATTTTTTGTCATGTTCTTTTTGAAACAACTGTAACATTACAATATCATTCAAGATAACAAAGGACAAGCATTGTTTATAAAAAAATGTAGGGCTTTGTACTCTCTTCAATGTGAATCTATCAAAACTAATTAGGTTTTGTAATTAAATACATTTTAGCTCATTGGACTTCACTGATAGCTTTATCACCCAACAACCTTGCAAATTTCTGATGTGGTAAGCTGATAAACAGTTGATAAAGGCTTCACAGTGTTAAAACAGTAATCATTACAGACTTATTTTAAGTTCTAATTAGTAAAAACAATTTATTACGCCCAACCAGTACTTTATTAAGAACAGTAAAATGTAAAAATGTCAGGTTTTAACACAACTAATTGTTGAAGAGGAAATAAATTGCAGCCAATATCTAAATTCTATCTCATTTAAACTATTATACAGCTGATAAAAATAAACTTTTAGTTTTTACAAGCAAATCGAAAAGAAAAAAAAATTCACTGTACACCAACTGAGACTAAATTAGTGTATAGGCCTACAATTTATAGAGACATATAGAAAAAGCTAGTTTTAGTTTACTATGCATCTCAGATTCATAACATTAAAGTCTCTTACAGAGATGCATTTTTACAAACATAAATAGACGGTATATCAACACTGATGGGACGGCTTGGTCTAAGCGGTAGAGCGCTAGGCTGCTAAGCTGAAAGACTTGAGTTCAAATCCCGGTCCAAGTCAGTAGAACATCCCCGAGTCCATCCAGAGCTGATGGGTACCTACCTAATGTTAGGGAAAGTAAAGGTGGCTGGGCATAGTGCTGACCATACCTTACTTTCAAATGCAGAGGTCAAGAAACATATGAACTCTACTTCATATGCCCAATGGATCGCTAGGTCTTAAAAAGATTCTTTACTTTATTTTTTTTATATCAACACTGAAACTCAAACGTCTAGTTTTTGCAAACTCAAATTTCAGCTACGACAATAGAAAAAAAATAATAATTTAAACTGTGAACAATAACAACAAATGACATTAGTTTAGAGGTGACCACCAGACATTAACTTTTAAGCCGAGTCAAATATCAACAAATCACAGTCATCAACATGACAGCACAACAGCACCACTTAAAAGCTGCAACAAAACATTAATGTATGCACAACACAACAATTATAACTTAATGTCAACCACATGAGAACATTGTTTAACTCTCAGTATTATATAACTTACTTTGGGTCCGGTGGATATTTACCAGTTTCACAGGTGACATTTACACTCTGCAATATAACCAGAAATAATTTATTTACATGGGTTAACAAAGTCTGTCAGAAACACAATATGTACATGTTATTTTTCAAATTAAAAATAGGCTAGATTAAATTCTGACAAGGGTTTATGATAATTGATGTACATAGGGGTAAACTTGCATTGTACACACTGACAAATAGGCCTAAATAACTTATTTTGTGTGCTATACATACATAACTTGAGTGGCATTGATAGCTCAATTGTGTGAAAGGTTATGTTTGAGACCAAAACTAGAGAGATTTTGTTTTCTTTTCAGTGCAATCAAGTGCATAGGGCTTAGGCCTTCTATTTTAAGTTTTTTATTTTTATTTTTTTAGGGGCCTTCATTGTTTGTTTTATAGTAGTAACTATGAATTTTAAAAAATTAAAATGGTCCAGTCCCTATTTATTATTTAAGTGTTTAATAGTTTAAAAACGATTTGATCTAGATCTAGTATTGGTACTTTGGTTTTTGGATACTGTTTGATTTCGATTATTTTAATGAAGCAGACACCCCCAAAGTCTAGAGTTTGCATCCCGTGACCAAGTATGTACAGCAGCTCTGATGGAAAGTAAATGGACCTGGGCATAGTGCTCACACACTATCCATCCCTTAATGCCTTAAGTCAATCATCTTAATGTGCTGCGGTCGCTGAAACAGGCAAACTCTACTTCACCTGCCACATGGACCATAAGGTTCACATTAGTGACATTAGACTTTAGACTAAAAATGAGACAAATATGTGTTAGATCTTCTTTAATAGTTAATGAGTATATTATAAGATCTAGATATCTAGATCTAGTATCTATATATATTATATATAATTCTCTTTATGGGGACCAAACGAGACACCACGCAGCTTAGCCACCACCCTCATCCCCCACCTGTCAGATGAGTTGTGGCTCACCCCGAATGTTTACAATAGTAGAGCTGATTCGAATAAGTGATGGCTATAAGATGCAGATAATTTAGTTTTTAAACGATTTGAAACTAAGGGGAGATAATAAGTTCTGCTCGATAATTTCATTCAATCATTGTCGGCTGTAATAAGTAAACGGCTGCTTTCACTGGGCGAGGTGGGGTAGGGGGGAGGGTAAAATCTTAGTTTAGCGTCGTAAATTCCAACGTAGCTAGTAATGTGCGATGAAGGTAACTAATGAATATTTCTTTCATTTGGCCATATTTATGTCATATTTTACATAATATAACAGATAATTGAATAACAAATCACAATCCAAGACCAAACAAGTCATAAATATCCTGGAATTAACTTTAAACTACCCCGTTCGAGACAACAATGAGTAAATACAAGCAGCGGCCATGTTTCAAAAACAATAAATTGTCTATTCGCATGCCTTTTGTGTTGATTTTGTGGTTTAATATGATTGTTTTGTATTGTTTTAATATATGCCTGGGGGTCGTCCATAAATGACGTCACACTCGTAGGGGGGAGGGGGGGGTCCGTAATTTTGTGACGTGTGATGAGGGGGAGGGGGGAGGGTTCAGATGGTGCCACGTCACACTTTTGCATTTTAAAAAAGCAATGTTAGAAAACGAATTTTAGACATTATTTTGCGTTTTAGAAAACTGTTTTAATACATTGTAATAACAATTGATTAAAATACTCTATTTTGACAGAGTTCAGACAAGATTTTGGAAAAATACAGCTGTTTAAAAACAATTCAACTGCAATTTTGAGGGGGGTTCTAGGCTGAGGTGTGACGTCATTTTAGGGGGGGGTCTGGCTTTTTGTGACGACGTGTGACGTAGGGGGGGGGGTAAAAATCGTCAAAAAAAGCGTGACGTCATTTATGGATGACCCCCCTGTATAGTAATTTTTCTTTTTTTAATATAGTTGACATGAATGACTAATAGACCTTTTCATACTTAATAGTGTGCACCCAAGACCATAACAATTGTTGGGAGGTCGAACTTTTGAACACTTTATTTGCAGTAAGCAAATCAATATTAGATCGCTTATAAATGAAGTCGCTCTTAAGATAGTAATGATAGCGTGCATTATTACAGAGCAAACATATGAACATATTGTTTCAGATAGAAATTGTGATTTGTGGTGGGGAGAGGTTGAGTAGAACTCAGCGATGTGATTTTGGAGACGGGTCAGGTTTTTTTTTTCGTGAAAACGGGATGGTTGTGGGAGAAAAACCAGCTGTAGAAGTATGGCGCGTCTTTCATTGGTGATCCATTTTCTCAGTGGGGACGATAGAACTATTAAGAAGGGTCAAGAAATGTAAAAAGCATGCTGAGTCGCATTTCTCGAACCCCACCTTTTCATTCCCCCACTAATCACATCGTCACCGAGTTAACGCTCGCACGTGACGTGATGTACCGGTACAGCCGACCGTTAGGCTAATTTTATAGAAAAACAACAACAACAAGCACTGTCTTTTTTACGCTTTTGCGACGTTTAATTTGATTACATAAGTTGGTGTTCATTAACATTAAACAGCCCCTAACACACAGATTTTCTTCCAGGCATCTCTTCGGGGGGGGGGGGGGGGGGCTTTGCCCACCCGAAAAAATTTTACCGCCCCCCCCCCCCCGAACGAAATGAAATTTATATAATTTATATAGAAAATATATGCTTTTAACAGTGTCCCCCCCCCCCCCGAAAAAAGTCTACCCGAAGAAAGTCTACCGTCCCGTCCCCCCGAAAATTTCAAGTGCCCCCCCCCCCCCCTCCGGAGAAAAAAGTCTGGAAGAAACACTGCTAACACATCTATCACTCGTCCATTTAAACGTACGTGGTTATTTCTGCAAGCTTGCTGTCTTGAGACTTTCGGCCCTTTAAAAATGTATTAAGCTCTCACCGTATAAAACTAGACTACCCATATTAAGCTCCAAAAGAAGCTTGGTGAAAACAGGATGGCCGTCCGATTTTGAAGCTGCTCTGCGCTTTATAAAAAGCACAATAAACGATAAGATGACACTTATATTAAAGTAAATTATAGTTCTGAATCTTGATACATTAAAAGTGATATTCGGAAATTAAGAGCCAGACAGTCAACATGATATTTCAATTTAAGTCCAAGAAAATAAATTTCCTCAAACCTTGGAACCTTACTAAATTTTCGCGCAGTTTAGCGAAATTGAATTTAAGTATTTACGTCATTTTACAAAGCGCGATAGCCTACTGGTGCTCTAACGCGGCCGTATTCCTAACGCCCCGCATTAGATGCGGCTTATTCGTCGGCAGGCATTTGGCGGCAAGCCTTTTTGACAGGGATAATGTGTTGCGGCCGTTTTGCCATATGTCTTAAACTAGCAGGCTTGCAACATTTGTGATGATTCGTTTTAAGCAAGGTATACGTATACTAATGCTTATTTATCGTTATTTTGATTGAACAAAGCATTATAGAGGTTCTCCATCAATCACCTAGGTATTTTTCCCCGTTCACCTCCTTTCATGAGACCGACACGTCATAAATTGCAAAGCCGCCTGAGTTGACGTCACAAATCTTCACTCACTCCCGTAGCAAATCATATGTGACATCATTTATGGACAACCCCATATCACTCACTTGGATACTTGATATTGACAATTCGACAACAAAGGATAACCAAAATATGTCTGGCAGGTGGAGACTTGCGATCGACCATAATGACAACACGCACTTAAGGGGTGGAGCGGCTCATTGTTTTAGATTAGATGATGTTTTACGAGGGAAGCTGGTGGATAATACATTTTGTCTCTCTGTATATATAAATGATGACAAACATTAAATGCTGTCAAAATTATGGTTAGAGATCTTAGATAAGGCAGAGTGAAGCGTAATTTTTTACATTATGACTTGTTGTGACATTGACGACAAAAACATGACGGAGGTTGGGGTTTAATTATAATTAAGGAAAAGAGAAGTAAAAAAATGTCATAAGTTATGTTAGAAGTACTAATTGATGAAAAGAAAAACCTGAAATGAAAATAGTGAACATTCAAACAATAAGAAAAAAACTCAACTATAGTAATAGTAAGATCAAATAAACATTAGTAAAAAAAAAACGTGATTTAATACATGGATACAAGTTGCATCTCACAATGCTAATAGAATTAATAAAGTTGTTTGTTAGGAAATTCACATTTTAAAAAAAAATGCTTTGTAATACGGAATATACAACAAAACGATCATATTTAAATACATTTTCATACGAATAGAAATGAAAGGGAAGCTACTCTCAATAAAATTTTCTTAAGATGGCTGCTGTTTTTAATAGCAAATTTACTATCTCGAACAGGGTTGATAAAAATTAATTTCAGGATATTTAAATTGATTTAATCATAAATGGTGATCTATTATTCAATTGTCTATAATATTTTATCAAAATATACGAAAATATACTCATATTTAATGACATATTCATTAATTCACTCTCTCCCACATTACTAGTTTAGGCCGAATTTACGACGCTAAACTTAACTAAGATTTTACCAGGGGGAGGCAGGGGGGTGGGGTCGAATTTACAAATTATGAATTGTTGATAAGTAGAAAATATAACAACGTATGCTACGTCGCGGGTCAGCTCGTATGTATTATTAATTACGGTAAAAATTTAGAGAAAACCCTTGATATTTCATAGTATCCGCCGCCAACCAATCAAACGCGCGCTTTCAACGCGTTTTGGTTGGCGGCTGACGTCACGATGACGTCACGCGACCCGTAAACACGGCGTTTTTGGAGCTAAAAAGGGCCGAAAAAGCCATTTTTTCTACGTGTAGTTCGGATTTTTTTACGTTTTTTAAAATGGGCCCGAAAATGACCCTTTTTAGAAATGGACATAGCCATTTTTTCGAAGAATTAATTCAAAAAAGGGCTGTTTTGAGTTATGTTTCGATGTAAACAAAGGCCCATGTCAACACGTGTCAAACCACGTGAAGGCACCCGATCGACGATTTCGGTCACGCATGAGTGGTTTTCGTACGTTCTCGTGAACTAAATACCAGTTTCTTGACAACAAATTGGAAAACGACAATTTCGTGAAAATAACGACCCTAGAGGAATGGCTTTTGAAGATTATTAAATAAAAATCGATGTATTGGCTACATGTGTTGATTCTAAAGTTGTCTATAATTGACTAGTAGTAGGGCATGCTGAAACAACGGCCTTAGGGCGCCGTGTAGTGTGTAGTTTCGCTAAATGTAAATTAATCAGCCCGGCCGCAGATCGACCGCAAACTGTTAAATTGGTTGAATGTGAAAAGCATACTACTTACAAATTACTTTTGAATATTCACATCACACAAAATAATCCCAAAGAAAGCACAAAATAAAATCCGTTAGAAAAGCATCACCAGGAAATTTGAAAACCACAGTATGTCAACCTTAACCAGCCATCTTTGGCTCGATCTAGAGGTCATTCTTTAGCCTACACGGCCTACACATGTGCCTTGCCAATAAATTTAGTTTCTGATGGTACACGACATTAGATCAATATATTAATTAACAAACTAACTGAATTCCAACATACTATCACTCTAATCCTAAAATGAAACAGAATTTGAAGCACAATGATCTAACGAATAAATCCCACTCGAAGTAAGTGTCGCAGCTCTAATCCTGGATACAACCGTAGTGTGTAGTCGTGTTGTGAGTAAACTTGCACGAGATAAAACACCGACCTAGACCTTCCTGATGTTGTGTATGGCCTCAAAGTGAAATGCTGGGAGTAGGGGAGGGGAATTTAACAGCAGAATATATTTTTTTCAGTAGTTACGTCACCAGTAGTTCACGCATCCTAACGGGGTTGAAAGTGTAACTTTATATTCAACTAGGCAAAAGGTGGAGGGTGGTGTCTTTCTAGTCGAAGAATACGGGGAAGCCGGCATTTGAAGCCGGCATTTCATTATTGTCATTGCTATTGAGTACAACCCTTTATTCTAGTTAAATGCATGACTAGGCTACTCATTACAAAATCTAAAAAATGTCGTTGTGCTGCCATGCAAAAGTAGCCTAATATTTCTACTGAATGGGGTAGGTATTTGACTTTGTTTATTTAAATGCAGATACCATTAGCCTAAACATATTTGGATGCACATTTCAGTTATATCGTAAGGATTAATTTTATAATACAATGCATATATTCTGACAGTCCTTCAAGTATTAGTAGTTATTGCCTATTGGACTATTCATAACTTGTATTTCAAAGATTTATCCCAATAGTTTACTGTTAATAATGTAAACTGAGCTTGACGAGACTCCCATCGCCAAGCAATCGTATGATGATAGACCCAGCAAGCATCACTCGTTATATTCGACAACATGGCTATACCAGTCCTTGATTTTCATTACTGCCTTGAAACGCCTAGTTCTTGGTTTAAAAAAAAAAAAACCTCCCCCCCCCCCCACCCCTTCCCGCTTGCGCCGACGTCATCATAGGCCAATACCACGATGCATTTTTTTTCACCGAGTACAACACACACTCCTCTCCCCCTCACAGCAAGCGCCAACAACGGTCACCCAAGGCCCAAGGCCAATAACACGCACCACGGTGGATTTTTTTTTCAATGAGTATATTATACCCTACCCACCCGCCGCCTTACAGCATACCGCTAGTCTTTACAAACGGGGTTAAAAGTTTAACTTTGAGTTCAATAAGGGGAGAGGATGGTATTGAAACAACGATGTTCTTTAATATGTTTAATAGTACAAATACATAGTAAAAAAATATACTTACCTACTTCTATAGCATCATACATAATTTTATAATTAGCAAATTAATTAATTAATTAATTAAATATATCTAATGATAATGAAGGGAGATAGTTTATTTTGGTTAAGGCACGACACACAACACTATGCGTGCGTGGTATGTGGCCTGACCGACCGAAAGGAGATTGTTTATATTATTGTTTTGAGTTTATATTTAACTCAATGCAACGAGCCCGCCGGTTGGTTGAGGCCACGCCGGGGGGACGATCTGTCCGGGATTCAAAGGGTCGATTCTAAATATCATCCTTAATTACATTAGATCTAGTTATTTTTTAACTTACCTGTGCATGAGATCCTGACCACAAAACTGCCAGTAACAATAAAATTAGGCCTACGTCTTTCATTGTTTAAAAAACCAATTCCTTTCTAATGGAGGCAATTTTTTTTAAACCTAACTAGATTCTAGATCTAGATCTAGTTCTAGATCTATATTTATGCTATGCTGTTTTGTATTTATTTAACTGGGCTAGATCTAATCTTGCTAGATCTATCATCAATCCGAATGACCCGTGACTTTGTTTTGATTCGCAACGAAACACGAAACGGAAGCTTAAAAGTTTACGTCTGTACTCAAACTTTTCTTTATTATTTCCCTTTAGTTGGATATTTTAGCAAATATATTTAGCATTTTGAAAAACAAAATAGATGGAGAAACGTTATTTAAGCTTTAATGCTTATTTCAAAAGGATTGAAGGAATTTGTGACGCCATTTTGGAGAAGGAGAGGACAGAGGCGTAGCGATTCATTCAGATGCTCAGGGCGAAATTTTAACTATGCCTCCCCCCCCCACCTCCCCTCCTAATTTATAAAATAGTTATTGATATACACGTCGAAAAAGCTGGGTTGGAAAAAGTAATCGAAAGTTTGAGGGGGGGGTGCAAATCGAAAGTTTGTCCCCGTGCGTCGGGAAGGGTGAAGGGTCGCTACGGCTCTGACCTCGCCGCTCCACCCAGTCTCTGAACCATAACAGTTTTTATTTTTTATACCACGCATATGATGTAGAAACAGTTAATTAAGTCCGTAAAATGTGTTCGTAGGAAGGGACGTACTGGTGATTTCTAGAAATGTTTAATATTAGACAGGGCATTGGGCAATGGTCTGTGGATATGTTTACCCCTATATAACATTTGTACCCAAACCTGTCCATATAAAGTATCAATAAGGCAGATGTGGGTCCAATGTGTCATAATTAATTTGTGTCACATGACCGTGCATTGTAATGTGTGCATACTATGCGCGTTGTAGGTGCACTTTTCGCTTTAAAATTGATTTATTTTAAACTGTAAATTAAGGTAGACCTACTGTGAAAATATTTTCAACTAAATAGATCTTGTAAAAAACAAAGCTGCGTTTCTGTAAATAGCTAAATATTTCGGCTTTAGGCTACAACTGCCCAAATAAAAGCATATGCTGGGAATTTCCATTTTCGATTAAGTTTATCAATTGGGAATTTCCGTTATGAATCCGGACAGTTGTTTTACATTGCTTGTAGTATTTGTAGCAAAAATTGTGTAAGTAATACAATTATTTTATATCTATAGTCTTCTTATACTTTTATAAATTTAATGTTGTGTATTTAGGCCTATAAAAATATATAGGACAGCTATTTTACTTATTTTTTACTGTCAGATGAAAATAATAAACATGAAAAATATTAAAAATAATTCAATCACATATAATATATGTTGTCAATGTCATTGACATTCCATTTAGTCATTAGTTTAGAGTTTAGGTCTTTATACTACTTTATTGCATTTATGGACTGTAATTTTTTTTTTATTATTTAAAATTTAGAACATCTCCATCTAAATGTTGGTCTGACGTCAGCCACCTCATCATTCTTTAAATTATTATACGGTTCTCTCGAATTCAATAAAGGGATATAATTAGACTGATAATTTTGCTAAAAATGTTGATCAAGTGTTTTCCCTTTCTAAAGAAATCATACTGAAAGTTTTTGCCATTATTCTTGTCAAATTTGAGATAGACTAGACTACAAAATGATCAATTTTCATAGCACTTTACAAACAACATTGTTGAAAAAAACTAAAATTTCAGTATAAATTACATTTTACATTTTTGTTAAAATTTTAATAATATTTTGCGACAGTTAATTATTCTTAGGATTTGTCTCAATAATGTTTTTAAAATATGTCTTACAGCTGCAAAATCCCGGAAAATTTATAAAGACGTAGAAAATATTATAGAATGGATTTCATGCTGTATGTGGTGCTATTTGTTGTAACTTTGGTGAGTAACTATGTAAAAATATTATAGAATGGATTTCATGCTGTATGTGGTGCTATTCGTGTAACTTTGGTGAGTAACTATGTAAAAATTCGAGTTTCATTTATAAAGTTACCCTTTCGAACCTGATGGGACAGATGAAGTAGAGTTCGTCTTATTTTGACCTCGTTATATAGAGGAATAATATGGTCAGCACTATGCCCAGCCGCCTTTACCTTCCATCAGAACTGGGTGGACTCTGAAATGTCGCATGGAATCGATCACGGGATCTAAACCGAGAACCTGCACCATTACATTCCCTAATGTCAGCCATGTATATATTAGAGCTGGGTGGACTCAGAGACGTAGCAAAGAAACAGACGAACTTTTTCATAATCTTCTGCATGGGTCTTAAGGTTTGTAAGGGAAATTTTACTTTATTATATGAGAGTTTGTACAGTGGCGTAGGCGGGGGGGGGGGGGGGGGGGGGGGGGAGAGAAGGACCCCAAAAGTGGCATCTACTGTTTTACGTTAAGTTACAGCTATCAGCGACTGTACACTTGTGTCACAATCGTTTAGTGCTTAAATACTAAACACTCAGGGTCGTAGCCTCTAGAGTTAACAATGTACAATCACATACACACACAAACACCCATTTATATATATATATATATATATATATATATATATATATATATATATATATATATATATATATACGCTTTGAGCCGCAAACCCCTCCGCCTGGCCACGCCATTGTCAGAGTAGATCAACTTGTAAATGTGCTCAATACCGTTGTATTTATTTTTCTCTAGTGCCTGTTTGTTTGGTACTTCATCCCCAATCGGGAAATCCACCAGGTAAGTTTTCTCAAGATATTACCTTTTTTGTGTAAGGATAAACCAATACTCATCGCAAGAAACAGGTTTTAAAAAATACGCTTTAAACTTTAAAACAAAAGTTTATCTAAAATATTAACTGAGCTGGGAAAAGATTCGTTATATATATATAGATCAGTTAGCATTATAAAATTTTTAAAAAGTCTTCTAAGATGAGAAAGTAACTGCTTAAGTTTTAAATTATATCGTTTCATATTGAAGACATGTGTGGAAAGTATGACAACTCCCCTCCCCCCCCCCCTTAAAATTAAAGAGTGCTCCTTCCCCCCCCCCCCCCCCCCCCCCCCCCCCCCCCCCCATCTCCCTGCCCTGAAGGTTTCAAGTGCCACCATATTCTCCTCGGCAAAAAATGTCTGAGAGAAACACTGCGTATGACGTCAGTTATAATGACCCCCAAAATAGTTTTTAACTCATCGAATATAAAACAAGGTATCCTAACTTTAAAGTGAAGCGACCAGTGTATAAAAAAGTAATTAATCGTTTGTTTCTACATAGTTATATTTTTCACTTTAGAGAACCTAAATGACATTGTTGGTTTAGTGTAGATTCTGTAATTCTTTTTTTTTTAATTAAATTATTAAAAACAAACCAAAAAAAAAAATTCTAATAATGTGATGCAGAAGCAAAAAGGCCTTGTAGTAGCTCCCCATTAAAAAGATCTAGGCCTAGAGTTGTTAACTTTATTAAATTATTCATAAATCGACGATGATTTGGTAAAATCATATTATGCTTCTATCTTTAACAGAGTGAGACCACAGGACAAAGACCTACATCTTTGTATCACGGGTGAGAAGCGATCGATAAAAAAAAACTTTATATATATATATATATATATATATATATATATATATATATATATATATATATATATATATATATATATATTTTTTTTTTTTTTTTTTTTTTTTTTTTTTTTTTATTTATTTATTTATCCAACTACGCATGTAGACTTGACCCACCTTGGAAAATGTCTTGAAACGTTTATGAGACGTCACAGTTTTTGGTACTTTTAATAACACAATTTATGTGGGGATAAAATAACGTCATTTTTCAACGATCCTCCACTCCCCTTCCCAACATCAATCGGCATGTTCGTTTTATTTACAAGCTTTACAAAAAAAGACAAAAGTCTGTGTCTGCACGGCAAGACAGGTTCGAGTGCTCTAGAGGAGCTGAACAACTTTCTGCTCCAAAAGGAAGCGGGTGGGGGTACTGAAAATTAGCCTTTGTTTTCGCGTGTGTGTTAGAAACTTTTTTGTTCGCCGGCTGGAAAATGCCGTAACCTGTTTGTGAGGCTTTTCTTTTCTCTTTAATGTCCAACTGTAGTCTATATATTTATAATGTCGGCCTAAGGACCAGTTCACAAGATCAAAAATATATGTTGACATTAAATATTTTAATTACGAGGAAAGATCTAAACTTTCTTTACTGATCGCTAAACATTTTTCCCCTCAATAAGAGCAGGATTAAACAAAAATATTTAACTGTATGTAGTGGGACTAAGTGGGTGCTCTAGAAATCTAATTAGTGTTATTGGAGAAAAAAAAGCACTTCGCTAGAAAAATAAAAATCATGCTTTTAAAAAAAAATATCAGTAAACAAAAAATCTTTCAGGGTACAGTAATATCAATCCACTTAAATCTAGATACGCTCAACTACTAAATATTTTTTTAATAAAAATAAAACAATTCTTTTACGCAAAAATCGTTATCATTTGTATTGAACTACCCAACACCTCACACAGTGTACAAAGAGAGCAACTACAACAGCAACTACCATAATGTCTATGTGACCACCTACATCGGCGTCAAAGGTCCCAATTGGACGCCCCCGTTGAAGTCTACAATTGACAAACATTTGCAGCAAAACAAAGACAAATACAAGTAAAATATTTTTATTCGAGTTTTTTTTCAGTTAGGTTTCATGTTGTTTGTTGTTTTTTTTTCTTTTTCTTGTATATTATTCTTTCTGTTCTGTTGTATTTAATTTCATGTTCATAAATATTTTATCTAATGCTCTTTTATATTCATTTAGATGTGGATTTTTAAAGATTTTAGTTTTATATATACAATGAATGAGTATTTTTTAGTTAAAAAGTTATTTTGCGGCAGTCCATAAAAATTCTTATATTATACATTTTAATTTGTATATTTTTAATTATTATGTTTGTTTATACATCGTATGAATACAAGATATTACATGTACAATGCTTGAAATTAGTATTACGAAGAATTTAATTCTTATAATTTCAGGTATAAGTGGAATAAAGATAGCGACGAGGTCACCATTTACTTTATAAAGCCTCACGCACAATAAGATTTTTTTAAGACGTTCACTGGGTTACTCTGAAGGAAGTTATTTTGTCAGGTAAAGGCAAAGAGACTTTAAGTGACAAGTTACATCACACATGGCCAAGATCTAACGTTATTAAATAAATCTTAAAATCATGTTTGTATTAGATTTAGTTAGTTATTAAACATAATCTCAGTGTTGCTTTATGTATCTCTCATGTGATGAGGGGGTCCACATCCACCGGAAGATATATATATATATATATATATATATATATATATATATATATATATATATATATATATATTATTATTATTATTATTATTAAATTTGAATTTTAAAAAATATAATTTATCAATTCTTATAGTTATGCAATATAGTAATATTATGACAAATTGTTATTTGATGACACCTCTATCATGTATGGCTGTGTTCCAAAGAGATATAATCTATATGGCAACGATGTAATATGAACAAAGTAGAGTAAGTTTTGAAATTTTATAGGAAAAGAACTTTTCTTTTTAAAATTAGCAATTGTTGGATTTAGTGTCACTCCCTTAGATAGTGTTACAACCCTGCACCATCCAGTGAGGAGCACAATCCTGCCACATGAT